TCCACAGTAAAGCAAAAAACAGGAAATGGAGCACTGTGAACCTGTCTTTTTTTTTTTTTTATAATCCTTTAACAAATCTGTACTGAATAACTGCAACTCTATTGCATCATAGCCAGGGTTGATTTGGATCGCACCTTTCCAAACGCTCACTCAAGGCTTGTGTCTGCAAAAACGGCTCCGTCGCGGACGCGAGGCGCGTTTCTTACTCCTCGCAGCTCGAAAACGAGCAGGAGGCGATTACCCAACGGTATTTACCGATTACGATTACCCAACGGTAATTGTGCAGCGTGACCATCGGCGCCGTCCCTCCCGGCGGCGGCGGCGTCCGATAGGCGTCGCTTCCGCCGTGCGCTCGGGATGACTTCAATCGATTCAAACGTTGCTTTGATGTCGCCGCTGCTTCTCCTGAAACAAAACGATTGATGCGATTTTTCCGTCCTTCCTTCCTTGAGATTTTCCTTTTGCGCTAGCCGTGTTTACCCCCAAAATTGAGTGGTAACAACGTAAGCCCCACCCACCCTTTTTTCTTCTTCTTTCATGACCTCTGTCGACGCTTTTCCACCTGTTGCCAAAAGCGCGCGCAATCTCTTGGTCTGCATGGACCTGCAATTGAGTGGCCGCAATTTCGGATTTGAGTCGATCCCGCCCAGCCTTGCATTCTCATCCTCAAATGGCTCATTTCATTCCATTCTTACGTATCTTTCTCAGCTTCCAGTGGGTGGAGGAGTTTTGTGTGTGTGCGCGCGCGCAGGCATGCGTGACCGTGCGCGCCGCGCCGCACTGCAGCCTTATTTCCTGTGGCGTCATTGGCAGCGCAGCGGAACAGATTGCGCGCTTTGCAAGCCCACTTGGAGAAGGCAGCGTTTGCCGGCTATCTCTTTAGCGGTGGCGGCAGAGCTGAGAGAAGAGCGCCGGGAAAGGACGTTTGGAGCCGCGTGGCCGCAAACGTAGCGTGGCGTGTCGGAGGGCGTCGACACGGCCGCTGCCAAAAGAGAGCGTTGTCGCTCGCTCAAATTGATAACTCGTCGTGCGTTCGAATGCAAATGTGGCGTGTTGAGAAGTGGAACCCAAGAGACTTTTGGCAGCCGTTTGTTGGTCTCGTGCAAATAGTTGCGTCCTGAGACCAATCAAACACTGCACCTTGATCCAGTGGAGCCCGCATTTCACCCCCCCCCCTCCCCCCGAGGTATTGCGCTCGCTCGGAAACGGGCCCATTCATCGTCGCCCAAATTGCAAAGACGTCGAGGTGTTGGGATGCAAAAACGACAAGGCCGGGGTGTCGCCAAACGCGGCAGGTTCTTCACGGGCTCGCTTATGTGGAATTTACAGCTGCCGACCCCCCCGGTCGAAAAGGTGAAAGCAGATACGTCTCTGTCGGGTTGCCATTGATTTGGGATGGCAGGGGCTCTATTTGAAACATGGCAGGGCGTTTGGCGTCTGTACAAAGTGGGAGGAGGGCTCCTTGGCACCGCCGGCGGCCAAGTGGCTGTGATTGAATGCCCTTCGATATCCGATGAGAGCGCTCGTGCATTCTGGCCCGCTCGCCGTGCGCCGTATTTGAAGCGGGAAAGAGACGAGATAAATGGCCTGCCCCCCCCCCACCCCCGGCCTGCTCTCCTGCACCATTAATTTGTATGTGAGAGCGCTCGGAAGTAGGAAACATCCCTTACAAGCTTATGGTGGATATCGAGACAGAGAGGTGGGGGGGGGGTGGGTTTGTTGAGCTTTTTTACATTCAAGCAAGCAAGACGATCGAGTCGTCATGTGATGCCTAACACGGTCACGTCCCCACTTTGGCGTTCACCTCCCCATCCGGATACGACGTGACTTGCTTCCTCTTGACACGGCGCCCTTTACAGAAAAGAAAATCGGCTGAGGGTGAAGCTGAACAATGCCGAATGAGCCGCCGTTGCAGACGGAAGAGGCGCTCGCTTCTAAGAGCTCAACCAAGCGACAACGATGCGCTAGCTGGTTGGAGTCGGAGCGATATGCGTCGTCCTTCTCGTCAGCTTGCATGACGACTCGGGCGCCAATATGCCGACTTCATGCGTCTGCTTCCTTGGGTTGCCCTTAATGGACCCGCAAAGCCCCTCCTTGAGCGCCGCAAGCGAAGCGTGTGCTTCATAATGAAGAGCAGACGGCGTTTGGCCCCAATCTTGCAAAAACCGGCACGCAACGCTGCGTCTCAAGCCTTGAAGGAAAACCATCTGGATGGCGTGTTTTGTCGTTCGCATGACTCGGCTCGAGTTACGGCTCCGCTCATTGAGAAGGTCCTGTTTGGTAAAAAGTCGCTCCCGCTTCCCGTCAGGTACGACATTCGAATTCCAGCCCCGATAAGTCGACACGGCGCCCTTGTCTTGAGCGCTCTCAGCAAGAGCCGCGTCGCCGTCGGCTCGCCGAAACCGACGTT